ATCACAGAAATAAATTACAGTTTAACAGATATTCACATAGAAAACAGCTAGTTTAATTTGCAATAATATTTCACAATTTTGTCAGTGTTTTCCCAGATTCCTCATCACTCACATGTCGGTCAGCATGGCGTGGTCTGCGGTGATCTTGGAGAAGTGGTTCTCCAGGATGGTGAGGGTTCCTGTCAGAGCGACGTGTCCGCAGCCGCAGAAGAGCGCCACGCCGCAGAAGCACAGGATGGTGGCCACCAGAGACGCGTACGGCACGCCGCCCAGACATTTAATACAGCACTCAAAACAACCTGCACACACACAAACACTCGTTACAGTCTGAAGAGCTTTACTCACTTACACAGAGCAGATCATTTCAATACAGCATGCAGGATTCACATTCCTGGACGCACATGCTTTTAACACTGTATACTAGAGCTGTGTGATATATTCAGTGTTGGGGAAAGATACTTTTAAAAGTAATGCATTACAATGTTGCGTTACTCCATAAAAAAGTAACTAATTACATTAGGTACTTTTTATGGGAAGTAATGCGTTATGTTACGTTAAATTAAACTACGTAAATTACGTTACTTTAAATCTGGGCTGGGCTTGCTTGTTTGTTTTTGATATAAAAAAGTTCTTATTTTACAAATGTACAAGCCCTTTCACAACATGAAATGAATACGCCTCACGTCTGTACAGTAGAGGGCGCTGCATGAAGAATATGACGCAGGAGAAGAAAGTTCAACACTATTCAGCAATAACAAAAGTGAAACACAAATGTGTCATTTTTGCTTAGTATGTTTGAGTTGGACCATCGAAGGTCAGTAGCAAAGACATTGGTTATTGGACAGAGTAGTGAGATATAAACATTTTTTGTTTATATATCGTGAGATATAAACTTGCAATTCTGCGAAAAAAAAGTCAGAATTGTGAGATATTAACTAAAGTATACATCTCGCAATTCTGAAGAAAGTATTGCAAAAAAGCGCATTGTGAAATAAAATAATTACCCTTTTTGTGTGTGTGGGGGGGGGGGCTTCCATGTGACACTGAAGACTGCAGTAATGATGCTGAAAATACAGCTGCGCATCACAGAAATAAATTACAGTTTAACAGATATTCACATAGAAAACAGCTAGTTTAATTTGCAATAATATTTCACAATTTTGTCAGTGTTTTCCCAGATTCCTCATCACTCACATGTCGGTCAGCATGGCGTGGTCTGCGGTGATCTTGGAGAAGTGGTTCTCCAGGATGGTGAGGGTTCCTGTCAGAGCGACGTGTCCGCAGCCGCAGAAGAGCGCCACGCCGCAGAAGCACAGGATGGTGGCCACCAGAGACGCGTACGGCACGCCGCCCAGACATTTAATACAGCACTCAAAACAACCTGCACACACACAAACACTCGTTACAGTCTGAAGAGCTTTACTCACTTAAACAGAGCAGATCATTTCAATACAGCATGCAGGATTCACATTCCTGGACGCACATGCTTTTAACACTGTATACTAGAGCTGTGTGATATATTCAGTGTTGGGGAAAGATACTTTTAAAAGTAATGCATTACAATGTTGCGTTACTCCATAAAAAAGTAACTAATTACATTAGGTACTTTTTATGGGAAGTAATGCGTTATGTTACGTTAAATTAAACTACGTAAATTACGTTACTTTAAATCTGGGCTGGGCTTGCTTGTTTGTTTTTGATATAAAAAAGTTCTTATTTTACAAATGTACAAGCCCTTTCACAACATGAAATGAATACGCCTCACGTCTGTACAGTAGAGGGCGCTGCATGAAGAATATGACGCAGGAGAAGAAAGTTCAACACTATTCAGCAATAACAAAAGTGAAACACAAATGTGTCATTTTTGCTTAGTATGTTTGAGTTGGACCATCGAAGGTCAGTAGCAAAGACATTGGTTATTGGACAGAGTAGTGAGATATAAACATTTTTTGTTTATATATCGTGAGATATAAACTTGCAATTCTGCGAAAAAAAAGTCAGAATTGTGAGATATTAACTAAAGTATACATCTCGCAATTCTGAAGAAAGTATTGCAAAAAAGCGCATTGTGAAATAAAATAATTACCCTTTTTGTGTGTGTGGGGGGGGGGGCTTCCATAATAAAATAAAACACCCTAATAATTTTAGAATGATTTATTCTTTCTAAATATCGCTATTCTAGTAATCTGGTGAAAATTCCTGTATTTTTTTTTTTCATTTCACAATATATAAAATCACAGAAAAACTAAATACCAGCTGTGTCAGTTGTCCCCATTATTGTGCAACCTTACAATTACAGGAATAATTCACCCAAAACTGCAAATTGTCATTTGGTGATGCTCATATTATTCCAAACCTTTATGCTTTTATATTTGTCATGTTTTGCATGAGGAAGCAAATGAAATTCAAGTCATAAGTGATAATCTTGAAAAATGGCATGTTGTCATCACATAAAGACTCATATTACTTCAAAAGACTTGCATTATAATGCATGCTTAATATGGTACTTTGATGATGCTTTTTGTTCTTGTGGTTACTATGAAATGTTGTAAATGCATGGTAAAGAGCTGCATGAAGCGTTTCAAAAAACAAAAAAATTCAACTTTTGTTTTCCACAGAAAAATATGAAAAAATAACAGCATAACAACACAAGAGTCAGTAAAACTAGTGCTGGGCGGTATACCGGTTCATACCGAATACCGGCGTTTATTTTTGTTATGATATGAATTTTTAAAATACCGCAATATGATGCTTAAACAACGTTGGGAACTCACTGTTTGAAAGGGGTCCCTTTTCACTGTTGCACTGTGGTGAGGGAACAGCTGTATGTGTTACTAAGCATGAAAGTTCCGAAACTGAAGCTGTAGAACTAATAGAACGTGAAAACTGAAAAAAACTGACAGATTTTCTGCTTTTGTGTGAATTATTCCTTTAATAAATTTGCCATCAAACTGTGAAGCTCCCAATTAAAAACAGTGTAAAGCAGAGTGTGTGAAAACAAAGACTAAAATAATGAACTGCACATGTGTGTGTGTGTGTGTGTGTGTGTGTGTGTGTGTGTGTGTGTGTGTGTGTGTGTGTGTG